TATTATAAAGCTAGCTTTATTAAAGTTATAGACGTCCTTATCACAGATACCCTGCTTAGCCTTTGTCTCTTCTACAAGCTTAAACTACCTCTTTACTAATGTCACATCCTCACACAGAGCTTGCTGCCTAACGTGCACGGCCTCGTAGTGCACACCGGCGCGTAATGCACACCCCACCACCTTTTGCACCCCCAAATAAGTGAGGTTATTGAGCAACATCACAATGCTGGTATTGCAAGATAAGTTAGTAGATTACTATATAGACTATTGCGAAACTTTTGGCTACCATAGTTTTCTAGGAAGACGCGTGGTACGGCCAGTAGATGCCTTGGTGGGTGGTGGTGGTGAGGGCGCCTTATGGGCAACACGCCGCCTTCGCGCAGCACTACCACCACGATTCTTTGTTACTTTTGACTGAGATTTCTGTGAGACCTTGCTCTTAGCCTGTTTAGGCAATTAAGTACTTTTTTCTGTGTTGCTCTTGCACTGAGCCTCTTCTTTATGAGCCTCAGTTTGAGCGCGCTTCGCAGCCTGTGCCTTAGCTGTCAATACCTTCTTCTTCTCTCGCTCAACACGCTTATCCTCCTTCTCCTTTGCTTGAATAATCTTCTTCTGGTGTTGAAGCTCCTTCTTAGTAGCTTTTGCTGCCTCTGCAGCGCGCTCAAGGTCCTCTTTTGCCTGAAGTTCTTGCTTTGCGCGCTTAATGCGTGAAGGACTCCACAAGACTGCACCACCACTGTTATTACTGTCAACAGGTTGCAAAGGTAGTACCTTTCGCTTCCTCTTCTTCTTCTTGTTTATACTTAGAGCCTCTTCTAGGCCTGTAACTCTGTGGTGAACAACCTCTAATTGCACGTGGAGTTAGTGAAGCGCTTGATCAAGTGCCTCATCAGCACTAGACTTATCCTCTTCTCTTGCACGCTTAAGTAGCCTTTGAGTCTTGCGCCAACTAGGTAGTTCTGGTGCGGGCTTAAGCCCAGTCGGCTCTGGGGTTGTGCTAGGCGACTTTGGTGTTGTATTTTTGAAACTCTTAAGGACAACGTCGGCATCCGGTGGGTGGATCCCAGTGCACCTAAAGGCCTCTTCTATGAGGTCTTTAGTGAAGGTCTTCTTCCACGCTGCCCAGAAGAGTGGGAAGAAGTCGCTCTGAGCTACAGGCGCCCACCCCTCAGTAGTGTGGCCGCGATGAAGGAGCTCTTCAGAGTAGTGATGCGCCAACGACCTAAAGCACGCTACATCAAGCGGCTGAAGCGCGTGAGTAGCATGCGGAGGGAATAGAAGTACCAGAATCTTGTTGGCATGAGCGTACTCAATAAAAGCCTTCGTAACGTGGCTACCGTGACCATCAAGGATCAAGAGTCGGTACTTCCCTCGCGCTCTGACTCTAGTATAGCGATCGAACACCTGCTTAAGCCAGGCAAGTCCAAGGGCATCATTTGTCCAGCCATTTAGTGAGGTACCGAAGTGCACGCAGTCTTTCTTGGCTTCAAATTCCTTCAACCAGCTGTGTTGCACAGTAAGGGAAGATGAAGGGAAAATAACTGCAGGCGGCAACGCAAAACCATCAGCTCCTACTGCTCCTACCACTGTCACCCACTTCCTGTTGCCATCATGAGATGCTAGCTTGAATCTCTAGAGTCCAAAGAGCTTCTTGTCAAAAATTCTAACGCTCTTTCCAATCACTCCAATCATGAAGCCCTTCTCATCCATATTGTACGTGTTCTCCACCTCTATTGCATGCTGCCTTATTGTACTGTGCAGGAGATCAAAATAGAGGCGAAAGGAATCATATGAAGCAGCGTCGTGACGCTGCTTCTCCATAGGCGCTGACCAGGCGGTGAGGAGTTCGTTGGGGTAACGATGAAGGAAGCAAGAAATCCATCAATCGCTCAGCGGCCACCTGCACAGAGGCGTGATTATTCTCACAAGAACCTTTCTTGTAGACATAAGGTGTCTCTCTGTAAGCGATTTGACGTACTGTACAATCTCTACCTCATCGCGTGGGTGGAGAACTAGCTGGTCTTTTGCCTTGTCTTCACGCGACGCGCATACGCCGCGGTGGCAGCGCGTCAAAGTTGAGCGGCAATAACCATGTTTTTTGGCAAGAGCTTGGTACGAAAGTGTATCGTCAGGTCCCAAAGTATCTAGCTCTGCAAGGGCTTCTTCTAGCGGCATCGTGGTGTTGAGTTATGGGGGGTGCAAAGTAGGCGTCAATGTTGGTGGGGTGTGCATTACGCGCCGGTGTGCACTACGAGGCCGTGCACGCTATTGTACACTCAGTTAAAACACGTCCAAAGACTGTCTGTACGCTTGACAAAGTTAGCTGGCCACTTCTGCCCAACCTGGCCAGCGCCGCGTGCAGCCAGCAGCTTATCAGCCATATCACGTGCAGCTGCGTAGGTAGGCGCAAATCCACGCTGATCTAGGTGAAGTATATAGCTGACAATCACCTCCTCTTCTCTCTGGGTAAGCTTCCTTAAGTTAGGCTGGCAATTGCGTCGCGCGCGTTTTCTAGCGCGCCGGTCAATTAGGGTTGATTTTGGGATATTAAAGACTGTAGCAGCACATTGTGTACTCTGAATTTAGGCAGAATCTATAGATAAGAGAGCAAGCTGAATATCTGCTTCATTTAACTGCATAAGAGGAGCGTAGCGTGGAGGCATTGTGTGTTAAGATAGAGTAGGTGATCAAAGTTGGTGGGGTGACCGACTTGCTTGTCTGACCGACTCGCTTGTCTGACCGACTCGCTTGCCAACCATGTATTACTATTTCTTTAAGTGTGTTATGCATAAGGTTCTCTATAAGGTCCTTAATTCTTCTATTAAATACTGTGTCTTTATTAAATATAATATCTTAAGTGCTTATTACATTGCTACGTAATAGTATCTAGATTTAATAGATATTTAATAACTAGTAGCCTACTAGATAGCTAATCTAGGCCTTTAGGTCTAGTTATTAAAGACGTAATTTGCCTCTATATATATTATCTGTTATAGTAAACACTTTACACCTATATACTCTTAGGTGCGTAAGGTTAGATTTTTATAGTAATATTACTATTCTATTACTAAAGGCAACTTGCGTAAAGAATATTTTGTATAGTGTTTTCTAATAGTTTGCGTAGTTTAGCGTTTAATTGTAGAGGTATACTGCTGCCCTTGTGATTTCTGGCCACAGTTCCTAGGAGAGGTTGGCATCAAGTTGCATTGGGCAAGCTTTCTCCTTGTTCACACCCCCTGAGCGTTCTGCGTTACTGTTCTGTGCTTGTGTGTCTAGCGCTAAAGGCTCTACAATAACTCCTTGTGTTGCTAGCTATTTTAATACGTCTAGTTTAACTATAGCTATCTTATTATCTACCTTAATAGTCTTAACTAAGATATTATAGTAATTTTTTAGGAAAAGGATAAATATTAATAGTGCCTTAATAATTAACTTTGCTGTGTAATAATCTGTAAAGTAGAGGTCCTACTATAGGCCTAAGAACCTATTAGTTATAAGTATCTAGTGTAACAGAGTAGGCGCCCTGCCCTCGAAATGTAAGGAGCTGGCCTCTGCGGGCTATTTGCAAGTATGAATCAAATGGATTTGTTGAGGAGTGGCTGCAGGCGGAGGTCTGCAGACTTTTATGTCCTCCGTGCGGAGGTTACACAATTAGTCAAGATTGGGACCTCCTGACTGGGGGTACAGCTGGGCAGGCACCTCCTCTCGGAGGTTGGCCGAGGCTGGCGAGCGCCAAGGCGCTACCATCGGGCCTAGCCTGTTACAGTACCCCCCCCCCCACTTGTCGCGTTGTTTATAACGCGTCCCCAGGTCAAAACACTAAATCTAGTCGCGCCGCCTACTACTCCGCCAACCAGCTTGTCTCCAACATCGTACCACGAGCCGCTGTCCCCTGCCCCGCCACAACTGTTCCGCCGCCCATCATGGCTCCTAAGACCCCGTCCAAGCCTCGCCAGGGCAAGGTGAGTGTCGTGGTGCTTTTTTTTTTAATAAATGATACCCGGCTGCGGCCCTCCTGGATACTCCAAAGTTGGAGTAGCTACTTCCAGAGTAGCTTCTTAAATAGACTATTGTTTATTTTCACATTCCCTCCCTCCTTTATGCGTGCCCTAATAGTAGCCTACAGTCTTCCTCTTCCTCTTCTCTAACACTATATTTAAGGTATTAGCTTATACATAAACTCCTCTAAGGGGTTTGCAATAGAAATTAGTAGGTAAGTTACTATTCTTGTCTCTATAGTTTATAGAGAACACTACCTAGTTATCTAGGGCCTCTAAGTCCTTGCACGTTGCTGCTAGTTCCCACGTTGCTTTTGCATAGCCGCACTATTTTACAAGATATAAATAGTTACAACTACTAGTCCCTATTACTTATTCTGTGTTAATTTGTTTAACCTCCTATTTCTCTGCTAACAACCTGTTATTGTTTATAACTATAAGTAGGCCTAGCTATTAGTTGTTATTAGTTTAGCTATGCAGAGGGTTCTAGGGGCATAGGTGTAGCTACTTAATGTAAAAAATAGGGTAGATATTCCCTTTAATGTTAAGTTTAACGTTATAAGGAGACACTACCTCTATAATAGTAAACTTCTAGTTCTTCTAGTCTAGTTTCTAGCTTTCCCTGTTGTTAGAGAAGTAAGTACCTAGTTTAAGCTATACCTTATTGCCTACCTATAACTAGCGAGCCTCTTTGTGGTGCTTATTAGCCTGTAGTTCTTATGCTTGTTAAGCTTCTACTATCTTAGATTATGCAAAGCTAAATGTCTTAACAAACTTCTTAGTTATAGTAATAGCTACTTTACCTAGAGACCTTGCATAGTAGTGTAATAGCTCTGCTGTTAGGTCTAGGTCCTCCTAGACAATGTCTATATTATACCTGTGTTGTAAGAAGAAGGGACTTACGCCTGTAGATACAGTGATTCTCCCTTTAATCGCGATTTAGGCAATAGGTACCTATTAGGCCTAGTCTTTCTGCAACTAGTTAGTGTAAGCGCAGAGGTAGGCTTCTACTATAGAGTTTATGCGTTTAGTGCTCCTATTAGTTTGTAGGTAAAACGCAGTTAATAACCTCTGTGTAATCTTTAGCATGCAACACATAACTATCTAGAAGTTACTTAAGAACTAAGATCCTTAGTCTAATATAATAGTATTAGGGAGCTAGTAGTATACTACTATATATATAAGAAACGCTTTTACTACTATATTAACCTATAAGCTAGGTAGTAGAATAAAGGTTACGTCCTTAGAAAGATAGTCTATAACTACTATAAGGTTCTAGTTACTCTTACTTTCTAGAAGGTCTGTAATAAAGTCTATAGAGATTTCCTTCTAGATTCTTTTAGGTATTAGGAGCAGCTTTAGTAATCCTTGTTTTAGTTCTCTCTATAGCTTTGTACGTCTGTAGATATTGTAGTTCTCTACATACCTCTACAATGCTAATAATATCCTAGGCTAGAAGTATAAGTAGGATAATATTAAGTATATATTGCCTCTACCTAGGTAACCTGTAATAGGCAAGTAGTAGATCTTATTAATAATCTGTCCTCTTAGGACTTCTAAATTAGGTACCTATTTCTGCTTATAGTAGCGCAGTTACCCTAGATTATTAACTAAATATTCTATAAGTAAGACTTTAAGACCTAGTTATAGAGAGAACTTCTGCGCGCTAGACAAGATTATGTCTCTTACTAGTTAGTAGGTATTATCTACTGTAGCTATAGTTACCTATAGTTGCTCCTGTGCGTTAATATTGTTGTAAGGTTTGTCTTCTTAGTAGCTATTACTTGTCTAGGCTTCTTGTCTACAGGCGTGTGTTGTGACAGAGTAGATCCTAGGTAGTTTAGCTATAGTTGACTGTGCTAGTTAGAGGCCTTCTGCGCACTAGAGGGATGTAGGGCAAATTTTTACTAAGAATACTACTATAGCACCTGCTTCCCCCTTATTATAAGCAGGTTTTTATACCTAAGCAAATAGTTTTAGTAACTAGAATTTTTATGTTTATATTTAATTATTGCCTATTAGGGGTAGTAAGTCCTCTTCGCGTCTAGACAAGGCATTAGCCTAGCTATTAACTTTTCTAGGACAGTACACAAATATTAGATTAAACTAGCTTAATAAGCTTAACTACCTAATATACCTTTCTAACAGCAACCTTGTTTTGCAGAAGTACTCTAGATTCTTATAGTTAGTAATAACTATGAAGTGTTCTACAGATCTTAGCTTAGTGCTCTATTCCTAGAGGCACTTAATAACTGCCAGCATCTCCTTGTTGTAGATAGTGTAGTTCACCTTAGCCTTTGTGTTTTTTGCAGAGAAGTATGCAACAGTCTGCAGGACGCTATTAGTCCTATACTACAACAGTACTCCCCTAATAGCCTATCTAGAGGTGTTGCACTCTAGGATTATCTTTAGGTCCTTGTTAAAGTTTAACAGTGCAGGTTCTACAATAAATACTATCTTTATAGCCTTAAAGGCTAATTATTAAGGCTTCCCCTACTTAAACACTAAATTCTTCTCTATTAACTAAGTTAGTAGTTCTACTATTAAGAAGAAGTTACTAATAAACTATTAATAGAAGTTAGTAAACCCTAGGAAGCTCTATATCCCTTTTACTAATTTTAGGGGTTCCTTAGCCTTAATAGCAGCAACTTTTCCTAGATCTATCTAGATCCCCTTACCTACTTTAATAATAAAGCTAAGGTACTTAGTCTTCTTAACAGAGAACTTATACTTCTTAATATCTAAGTAGAGGCCTGTGTTACCTAACTTCTAAATAATATCCTTAACTTTAGCTTTATATTCTGCTTATAACCTACTTAAGTAGATAAGTATATTGTCTATATACACAGAACACTATTTATCTAGATCTTCCTACAGTACCTAATTAATATACTATTAAAAGGTACTAGGGGCGTTAGTAAGTCTAAAGGGGGTTATAAGCTACTTATATAGTCTAAACCTTGTCTAGAAGTAGGCTGGCGGAATGGGTATACTCCAACGTCCTTCGTGGGTACCCCCCAAAACCTTATCAATAATACATGGATTCTAGCGGACTAGGGCTGAAAAGAAAGAGAAAAACTCCCTCTATATTTTTGTAGTAGAAGGTTTTGTTATAACTATTAAACTGCACAAGCTAGAGGCTAGAAAACGTTAAAAAAGGGGGGGTACCTAGCGAGCATACCCATTAATAGGTATACTTTGCTAGGTAGTGTTAATAACTTAGCTAATACTAGGTAGAATCAGCTAATTCTTTTTTTATTGGAAGGCGCAATACTAGGCGCTTCTATCAAATAATAGATTATGTAAGCGTATCTCTGCTAGTTAAGAAGCTATAAGCCAAAACGTAAAAAAGCATACCCTACCCATCCGCCAGCCTATCTAGAAGGCTATTTTCTACTTATTACCTTTAGTAATATAAATTTTATAGAATACTTAGATTATGTTAACTTTAGTAAACTATTTAGCCTTTAAGATTTGTGATAGGGTTTTGTAGATTAGTAGTAGGGGGTACTAGTCTTTCTTTATAATTATATTAAGTGCCTAGTAGTTAACGCAAAATTAGAGACCTCTGCTAGGTTTCTAGGCAAATAGCACTAGCGCTAAGGCGCTAGATTTGCTCACACAAATAAAGCCTCTGTCTAGGTAGCTAGTTAGTTATTAGCAGAGGACTAAGAGTTCTTCTCTTAACATGCTGTATAGGGGTCCCTAAGGGATTATTGCTAGTTTGCTGTCCTGCTTAATAAGCTTAATAGCATAGTCAATATCTACTCCTCTATGTAGAGCTAGTTTGTCTGCTTCTTCCTTTATAAACATCTAGAACTCCTCCTTTAGGTAGTTAGGGAGGAGGGCATAAGGGTCCCTAGAGGCCTTTTTTTTTAAGGCTTTCTATATATCTACTATAGAAGTAGAGAAGATTTCTATTAAAGAATCTTTCTTTAACTACTTTTATAGTGCCCTGTACAGCTCTAGGCTAACCTACTATAGTACTAGCTCTAGTCTAATGCCTTCTTTGCTCTGCACCCTTGTTATAGACAAGTAGATAAACAGTGACTTCTTAGCTGGCGCTAGGGTCACTTTGTGCTTATCTATCTACAGGCAGCCTAAGATTAGGTTGTATTTATATTCTCCTTTAAGGACGTACGTAAACATTTATTTAATATAGCTATTAATATTAATCCTTATCCTAACTACTTTCTTTAGCTAGGTTATCTTACTAGCTAACGTGGTTTATCACCGAGCCGCCAGGTATCACCGAACCGCCACCCCTCGCCAATTTTGCGACTGTTACAATAATTATTACAATGCCATCACAACACAACACGCAATCACCCTATAACAAAGGTACACTATACCTTGCTATCTAAGCTACAAAAGCTACTATGCCTAACAGTATAAATTACGTGTCTAAGGCCTTTAGTGTTCCCTAATTAACGTTAAGAGACTAACGCGCAGGAGGGCTTGCATAACGCAATTGCAAGGCTAATTTAAAGAAGCTAACAAAGGTAGAAGAGGAGGCAATAGTTAACTATATACTTAAGCTAGACAGGCAAGGAATAGGCGCAACAAAGACTATGGTGCAAGATATAGCTAATAATCTGCTTGCTGCACGTAGTGAAGGACCTATTAGCAAGCTCTAGGTAAATAGGTTTAACATACATACCTAACAAATTAAGCTTTAACATAGCTAACTGTACAATTATTAACAAGCCCTAAATAAAGATACACGTGTTATAACGCCCTAGTTTAAGCTAGTTAGGAATATAAAGGAGAAGTACAGAATCCTAGATATAGATACCTATAACTTTAATAAGACTAGGTTTATAATAGGCATAATTAGGTCTAAGATAGTGTTTACAGGCTTAGAGAAGTAATCTAACCCTAAGAATATCTAGCCTAGCAATTAGGAGTAGGTCACAATTATTATTAGTGTCTGCGCTGCTGGCTAGGCTATCCTACCCTTTATTATCTTCTAAGGCAAGGTCCTAATTACAACCTAGTACCCTAATCTGCCTTGCAATTAGGTAATTGCAACTAGCAAGAATAGCTAGATAATAAATAAGCTTAGTCTAGAGTAGTTAAAGCACTTTAACGCGTCTACAAAAGAGCGTACTATTAGCACCTACTATCTACTTATTATTAATAGCTATAAGAGCTACAACTCTATAGAGTTTAAGGAATACTGCGCAGAATACAAGATTATTACCTTGTGTATACCCCTACACTTGTTGCACCTGTTGCAGCTGCTTAACATAGCCTGTTTTAGCCCCTTAAAGAGGGCGTACTTAATTAAGGTTAATGCCTAGTTATAATACTTAAAGACACAAATTAAGAAAGAGTTCTTCCTTACTAGCTTCTAGACAGCCTATTATAAGGCTATTACAAAAGACAATATCTACAGAGGCTTTAGAGGCGCAGGACTAGTTCCTTTTGACCTAGAGCGAGTGCTATTAAAGCTTAATGTGGTCCTTCGCACGCTAACACCACCACCACTAGAGACTACCCTATAGGAATCTAAAACACTAACTAGCGCAAAGGAGGTTAAGTCATAAATGTTGTATATCTGTGAGCGCATGCGATTGCACAGAGATTCGCCCCTGTCTCCTATTATAAAATTACTTGACTTGCTTGCTAGAGGGGTTGCGCAGATAGACCATGCCAACGTGTTGTAGAGAAGGGAAATAGATAGTATAAAGAAGGCTATTAAGGCTCTAACAGCGCAGCGTGGTTGTAAAAGAAAGTATATCTAGACAGAGGAGGCTCTTATAGTTAGTGAGGTACAGGATATAATAGCTAAGAAGGACAGTAGTGGTAGTAAGGCATCTGAACAGTCTAGGAAGAAGGTGCGCAAAGAGAGGCACTGTGGATGTTGCGGCAAGACTAGCTACAATTTGCGCACCTGCACTGCAGAAATATTAGATGTAGATAATAGCACTGCTTCTAAAGAGTAATTGTAGCAATTATAAGTATTAGTATAGTGTTGTAGTTAAGCGTAATAGTTGTGTAATAGTTAGTGACTCTAAAAAAGTTGGTGAGGGGTGGCGGTTTGGTGATACCTGGCGGCTCGGTGATAAACCACGTTATGCTAATAACTTGTTTCCTTAGTATAGAGATATACCTAAGGTTATTTTATATTACAAAGCTTAAAGAGATAATTCTATAAGTTAAGCACCTAGTATTAATTAGTGTGTGTGCTACAGTCTTATTATCTATTAAAATGTATAACAAGATAGGTTTACTATCTAGCTATTGCTAATACAACTGCTAGAATAACTTACTATCCTAGTTAACCTTGCTAATTAACCCCTGTCTGCGACTTAGGACAGGAGGTTCTAGTTTTCTAAATTAGAATTATTCAAGTCTGAGTATTCCTCCACACTGTTTGTCGTGGCAGCTGCGCTAACCTGTACAGTACCCAGTCGTCTGGCTGGGGCTAGCTTGCATCAGTTAACGTAGTGGCCGTCTCTGCCACACCAGAGGCACTAGTTGTTAGCCCTTCGCCTGTCAAGGACCTCTTGTGGTTTCCATTCAGCTCGTTCGCGTTTGTTGTTGTTGTTGTTGTTGTTGTTGTTGTTGTTGTTGTTGTTGTTGCTGTTGTTATTGTTGTTGTTGTTGTCTACGCGCGCAGCATAGACCTTTGTAGGTTCCTAGTCTATCTTATTGTTATCCTTCCTTCTAGGTTATTATCTAAACAATATATTACAGGTATAAGTCTTAACTTGTCTAAGGTTAGTCTCTACTTTTAAGACTTATGCTATAAGGGTCTAAAGTTCCTATTCTTTAAGGACTTCTATAGATACTATCTTATCCTAAAGGTTACTATAGATAGTAGATATATACCTTATCTTAAGGTTCTGTTTATTTTCTTCTTCTCTAGTATTAAAGGCTAGCTAGACAAACTCTGTATTAAAGGCTTTAAGGCTTTATCTATTTTTCTTTATTATAATTATCTATAGCTTCTAACAAGATCTTTCTTTAAACTAGGTATCTTAGTATTATTTATTAAGGAAGCTCTAGAATTCTATAGTTAATCCTAATAGGTAGCAGGATTTCTAGGATAGACTAACCTAGGTAGCTTGCCCTTCTAATTAGTTAAATATATATACTACACCTAGGATTAATTAATATTCTCCTATAGAAGTAAGCTTGTCTATTATCTAGGACTTAGATATCTAATAGAGCTAGTAGTTACTATTAAACTTCCCTATATTAGGAAGCTTAAGCTTTGTAAAGCCTAACTAGGTTGTAGTAGTAGCTATTATTAGGGTAGGAGAGATATTAGCTATTACTAATCTCTACTATTCCTTATCCTTATACGCCTATATGCCTGCTTAGATAGCCTGTTGTATATATTTGTTTGTTATATTAACTATTAGTTAGGATTGCTAAGGTGTTTATAGAGGGTTTAGAGGTCTAGTTGTTGGCTGTTTAACCTCTAGCAACCTGACTGTATCTTTAGGCAGGGCGGCCCAGGCCAAGTGAGTGGCCAACAGAGTCAGAGCGCGTTTGTAAATAGTCTCTAGCCATTCTGCAGGTGCTAGAGTGCTTGCGTGGTGTTGCAATTCTGTGCGAACGTCTAATTAGGAGTTAATACTTAAGTAGAGTTTAATTCTGTATTTAATAAGGCGCCCTATAACAGTGTTAGTATTTTTACTTATTATAAGTAGTTCCTTACAGATGCTTAATAAATAAATAAATAAAGAGGATAAACAAATCTAGATATAAGGAGCTGGCCTCTGTAGGCTATTTGCAAGTATAAATTAAATAGATTTGTTAAGGAGTAGCTGCAGGCAGAGGTCTGCAGACTTTTATGTCCTCTGTGCAGAGGTTACACAATTAGTCAAGATTAGGACCTCCTGACTGGGGGTACAGCTGGGCAGGCACCTCCTCTCGGAGGTTGGCCGAGGCCAGCGAGCGCCGAGGCGCTACCATCGGGCCTAGCCCGTTACATCTAGCTCTTTTCTTTAGTAACTCCTTATACTTTATAGAAGTAGAAGTTAATGCTAAGTCTTTCTCTAGGTCTGTTATTATTAATTCTTAGTATGTAGCTAATTTGCTGTTGCAATTTAGCTATTCTATAAGCATTGCATTTAACTATAGTAATGCCTTAGATCTGCACCCCCTAAGTCTGCTAGACAATGTGTTTAATTGCAGTAGGACTAGGGTAACTAAGTTACTTGTGCTACTTTATTGCTAAGGCCTTCTATAGTCCTCTCTTAGTGTGTGTAGTGATTTTGTGTGTGTAGTTAGTAGCTAGTAGGGACAGTTTATACTTAAGCACCTACTTGCTAAGTATTTCTAATACTACTCTAATTACTTAGCTATTTACTTATTAGAGAGTTATTAGGTCTACTTATGTGTCCTACTATATGCCTCTATTTTGCAGTAGGTGGAAGGACACTAGGTTGCATAGCAGGTCTGGGCAAATTGCTATGTCTGTAAGGGTAACCTTAGTTGTCCTAGCTCTACTCCTTAAGAGTAGATTAATTAATCTATATCCTCTAACTAGCACCTTAGAATTCCTAGCCTATATAAAGTCTCTAGGCAATAGCTATTAGAACCTATAGACGCAGTTAGGGTTGTTAGTAATATAATAGGTAGAACCTAAGTTAAGTATAAATAACTTCTATAGTAGATAGTTAGTAATGTCCTATTAGTTTACTATACTAAGTGCTACTTTAATGTTAGTAATTTCTTAGCCCTCTAGTTAATTATCTAGGATTTCTAGAGTAGGGGTGTATAAGTACTTTACTACTAGTATTCTTAATCTACTCTTGCTTTATGCGTAAAGTAGCCCTTAAAAGGTAACATCTTTCTTATACTTAAACTTAATAAGTTTAGAAATAATCTTATTTAGTTTCTACTACTTAGGAGCTCTGTCTTAATTAACATAGTAGTAATCCTATATAGAGTAGTGTTGTCTATATATAGGGTATTTTACTCCCCTAGTAGAAGTAGGCTCTTAATCTAAAGGCTGCTTAAGTGTAGTAGTTTTCCTACCTACTATATATTAATATTAAGGTCTGCCCTAGTTAGATAGCACACTTACAGCATGTTAGGCGTCCCCTTTATAGCTCTAGGAGGCTGCACCCCCTTTAGCAAGAAATACTACATTATTAGCTACAAAAGCCTTGTGCTACCCTAATCTAAGGGGATAATTTATTATTATATACTCTTAGTAGTGTTTAATTATCTCCTTCTAACTTATACTAGATTTAAAGTGTCTACTAACGTGGTTTATCACCAAGCCGCCAGGTATCACCGAACCGCCACCCCTTGCCAATTTTGCGACTGTTACGATAATTATTACAATGCCATCACAACGCAACGCGCAATCACCCTATAACAAAGGTATACTATACCTTGCTATCTAAGCTATAAAAGCTACTGTGCCTAACAGTATAAATCATGCGTCTAAGGCCTTTAGTGTTCCCTAATTAATATTAAGAGACTAACGCGCAGGAGGGCTTGCATAACACAATTATAAGGCTAATTTAAAGAAGCTAATAAAGGTAGAAGAGGAGGTAATAGTTAACTGTATACTTAAGCTAGACAGGCAAGGAATAGGCGCAACAAAGACTATAGTATAAGATATAGCTAATAATCTGCTTACTGCACGTGGTGAAGGACCTGTTAGCAAGCTCTAGGTAAACAGGTTTAACACGCGTACCTAACAAATTAAGCTTTAATATAGCTAACTATACAATTATTAACAAGCCCTAAATAAAGATACACGCGTTATAACGCCCTAGTTTAAGCTAGTTAGGAATATAAAGGAGAAGTATAGAATCCTAGATAGAGATACCTACAACTTTAATAAGACTAGGTTTATAATAGGCATAATTAGGTCTAAGATAGTGTTCACAGGCTTAGAGAAGCAATCTAACCCTAAGAATATCTAGCCTAGCAATTAGGAGTGGGTCACAATTATCATCAGTGTCTGCGCTGCTAGCTAGGCTATCCTACCCTTTATTATCTTCTAAGGTAAGGTCCTAATTACAACCTAGTACCCTAATCTGCCTTGCAATTAGGTAATTGCAACTAGCAAGAATAGCTAGATAATAAACAAGCTTAGTCTAGAGTAGTTAAAGCACTTTAATGCGTCTACAAAAGAGCGTACTATTAGCACCTACTGTCTACTTATTATTAATAGCTATAAGAGCTATAACTCTGCAGAGTTTAAGGAATACTGCGCAGAACATAAGATTATCACCTTATGTATACCCCTACACTTGTTGCACCTATTACAGCTGCTTAACATGGCCTGTTTTAGCCCCTTAAAGAGGGTGTACTTAATTAAGGTTAACGCCTAGTTATAATACTTAAAGATATAAATTAAGAAAGAGTTCTTCCTTACTAGCTTCTAGACAGCCTATTATAAGGCTATTATAAAAGACAATATCTACAGAGGCTTTAGAGGCGCAGGACTAGTTCCTTTTAACCTAGAGCGAGTGCTATTAAAGCTTGATGTGGTCCTTCGCACGCCAACACTACCACCACTAGAGACTACCCTATAGGAATCTAAAACACTAACTAGCGCAAAGGAGGTTAAGTCATAAACGTTGTATATCTGTGAGCGCATGCAATTGCACAGAGATTCGCCCCTGTCTCCTATTATAAAATCACTTGACTTACTTGCTAGAGGGGTTGCGTAGATAGACCATGCTAACGTGTTGCAGAGAAGGGAAATAGATAGCATAAAGAAGGCTATTAAGGCTCTAACAGCGCAGCATAGTCACAAAAGAAAGTATATCTAGACAGAGGAGGCTCTCACGGTTAGTAAGGTACAGGATATAATAGCTAAGAAGGATAGTGGTAGTAGTAAGGCATCTAAACAGTCTAGGAAGAAGGTGTGCAAAGACAGGCACTGCGGACGTTGCAGCAAGACTAGCCACAATTTGCGCACCTGCACTGCAGAAATATTAGATGCAGATAATAGCGCTGCTTCTAAAGAGTAATTATAGCAATTGTAAGTATTAGTGTAGTGTTGTGGTTAAGCGTAATAGTTGTGTAATAGTTAGTAACTCTAAAAAAGTTGGTGAGGGGTGGCGGTTTAGTGATACCTGGCGGCTTGGTGATAAACCACGTTATCTTAAAAGCTTGTAGCCTAGATAGGCGCAACCCTATTTATAGCTATTAGGAAGTCCTTTATTATTATATTTAATTACAATAATTTAGTAACTTTGTATGTCTCTGCTTCTGTAGCTGCCTAGTTATACTTAGCTAGCTAGGTATCCTATTATAATGTGCTTTTTATTAGCTTAAGTGCTAAGAGGTATCTATCTTAGGCTTATTCTTGTTTAATTTGTTTATTAACCCTAATAGTAAGTTGTAGGTCTGTAATCTACTATTATAGTAGTTTCTTAGGAAGACAGTATATGCGTAGTAGATATAGCAACATAGTTAACTAGATAAACACAATAATATGCTAAAGGCTTGCTTCCTCCTTCTTCTATTTATATTAATTATTCTTATAACGTACTCTATCACCGAGCTGGTTATATCACTGAACCAGTCAAAATCTCTTGTCGCGCCCAACTTATATTGCAGTAACTTGAATTACTTGCTATTAAACAGTGATCTAGTGTACTGCGTGCTTTTATCAGGTTTAGAATCTTCTTCTATATCTTTCTAACACGTTTAAGCGTTGTGCCCTGTGCCTCCACAGTTTCTACAGCGCTGTTGGGCTAACTAGGTCCTTTCTTGAGTACCTGCACCACAAGTCTTCTTTAATGGCTAAGCTGCTACAGACACCTTAGCAGCTACCTGTGATGCTGCTAGGCCATACTTAAGTGTGCCGCTATGCTGAATTTGCTTTCGCTTGCGCGACTTTCTCCTAGTCATGACTGCTAATTGCTCTTCAAGCTTAGTAATGCGAGCAGCTTGCAGCGCGTTTTGGTGCAGCATTAATTCACCACCTTTGATAAGCTAAGAGAAGCTAGCCTAGGCTGTGACTAGTAACTAAGTAAAGGAGTCATGTACAAGCTTTAACTAAGACCTAAACTTGTGTGTATTGCTTAGAGTCCTTGACTGCCACGGTGTCTCTAGTAGAGGGGGTGCTAGTGGGGTACAGTGTCGCACCTTAAGGCAATCCAACACTACCTGCGCGTTGGTAGGGTTGGTTGGTTGGTTGGTATTCATTTTACGTCTAGTTAATAGGGAATGCGCGTTGGTAGGGACTAGCCCTGATGCCTTAAAGGCCTTCTAACAGTTGGCCTTTGTAAACATGTTAAGAAACGCGTCTCTAAAGGCTGGAAGGAAGCCTTCCTTGTTGATGTGGAAGACGCGTTGGCGTGCCAAGTCCCAGACGCGTTAGGAGTACTTGCGCTTCAACGGCGAGAAACAGACCACGTCAAGCAGCTAGAGGATGTGTGACGAGTGAGCTGGCATACAGAGAGTAAGGATCTTGTTATCTAGGCAATAGTCCTTAAAATCCTAGTTAAGGTAGCTCTTATGGCCGTCCAAGATGAGTAGCCTGTATCCCCCTACCTAACGCGCTCTTGTATGCGCGTTAAAATGCTTCAACCACTTAAGGCCAAGCGCGTTGTTTGTCCAGCCGTTCTTAGAGACAGAGAGCTTCTAATTGTGTAGTATATCCGTCTCCTCGTACTAGGCAGAGATGTGGATGCGTCCTTTGTAGATGATGAAAGGCGGGGTCGCATATCCAGCAGCGCAGATGCTCTGTATAACTGTAACCCACTCCTAATCGCCTGGCTGAACAAGCTCAGGTCGAGCGCGTCTCTCAGCGCCTGTGACAACCTTTATTAACCCTATCACGCCTATCTAGAACCTAGTCTTATTAAAGTTGTGCACGTTATTGTTGTAGATGCTATACTTGGCCTTAGTACCCTCTACTAGCATAAACCACGCGTTAATTACCTTAGGATCTTCCTGCAGTATCCTCTGTCTGTCCTTTGCTTAGTTAAACGCTATCTTGAGCTAATCTAAACGCGTTACAAATCTTATAGCCTAGAGTTTACTAACAGGCTCCCTACTACGCACACCTAACAGTTTATCAGCCATATCTGCCACCTCACACAGCTGAGGCGCAAATCCTCGCGAATTAAGGTCAAGAATATATTGGACAATCGTCTGCTCTTTAGTTGCAGTGAGCTTCTGGCAGTTTGCGCGTACGTTGAGTTGAAATGGAGTATTGCTAGCGCGTTTAGAGAGCCTGCGTTGGTTAACGTTGAATGCAGCAGCAGCAGCCCGATGGCTCTGAAACTGTCCGGTATTGTAGGCCTGGAGAGCAAGCTGCAGTCTCCCTTCGTGTTGAAGCAATAGGTCGTGATGTTGTTGAGACATACTGTGAAGTGCGGAGTTGTGTTATATAGTGCCTAAAGGGCAGCGCATCCCCTACCTCTCAATGGGCCTTCCTAGAGTGCCATGGTGCCATGGAGACACACGACGTCTCTGTCAAATGGGCCCCTGGACATCTAGGCATTGAAGGAAACAAAGCGGCCGATAGGCTAGCAAACCTTAAAGCCCACTACCCATCACTCCCTACTAGAGAGGCTGCTGTTCCTACACTAGCAGGCATCAAATCCATCGCTCGCAAAACATTGCACAACACACAGCAGACCTGGTGGTCTAAGAAGAAAGAAAGCCTCTCTACATAGTACAGAAGATAGGAGCTAGGCTACTCACTTCACAGCAGACTACGTGAATTAGACCTACTAAGAGTCACCCTAGCCAGACTGCTCTTAATTTAATCTATGCACAGCAACTTCGCGTAGTACTACTAAAAGTTTAGCCACAACAACGCAACACTTACCTGTTTATGTAGACGCGACAAGACACTAGAGCACCTTGCGCTCTACTGCAAGACCCTAGGAGCCTTTAGCTGATAGCCACTTTGACTACCTATACCACTATCTAGCTAGAACAATGGCCTAGCGTATACTGCCTTGCTGATTGGGGATCTAGAGGCTTTTGAAGCCTTTGTCTAACTCACACAGTACTACACCAAGGTCTGCCCCTAGTAGCTCACCCTGTGCTGCAACAGCAGCAAACAACTGTACTCTTTCCTTACTATCCTTCCTACTCTTCCTCTCTCCCACTTCTCTAGCACTTAACTGCCTCTAAACACACACAAGGGATCCACCCTAATGTACACATACAGCTTAGTCTCCCCAACTAGACAGGGAGCTGTAGTTCTGAAATGGTAGTAATACCCGCGCAGGCAAGAAATGCTTTCTAAGGTAGTGGCAGCACTGTAATTCCATAGCTTAGCACGTCGTATATGCCCTTCGGGAGGCGAGATGATGGACTTCATCCTCATCAACTAGACGTAAAATGAATACCAACCAACTTACTAACGCGCAGGTGGTGTTGGATCGCCTTGAAGTGCGGCTGCATACCCCACTAGCAGTACCTCTACCCGAAACGCCGTGGCAATCCAAGACGCTAAGCAATACACACGAGTTTAGGTCTCAATCCAAGCTTGTAAGCGACTCCTTCTAACAATTGCTAAGTGCAGCGCAAGAAGGGTTCTTAAAGCTTGTAAAAGGGGCTAAAGAGATGCTGCACAAAAACGTCCTTATTAAGGCCCGCGTGCAAGAGCTTAAAGAGCAATTAGCAGTAATAACTAAGAGAAAATTGCGTAAGAGAAAGCAGATTCAGCATAGTGGCACACTTAAGTATGGCCTAGCAGCATCGCGGGTAGCTGCTAAGGCGTGTGTAGCAGCTTAGCCATCTAAGAAGACTTGGGGTAGAGGTGGTTAACTAGGAGCTTAGTTAACTGTTTAGCGCTGTAGGAACTGTAGCAAGACTAGACACAACGCACGAACATGCTAGGAGGGTGCAGAAACATCTTCTAAATCTAATGCAATTACGCAGTATGCTAGGTTACTATTTAATAGCAAGTAGTTGTAGTTGTAGTAACTTGTGTTAGTTGTGCTAAGAGAAAATGGCTAGTTTGGTGATATGGCCAGCTTGGTGATAATCTACGTTATTGGATGTTCTCAAACACCAGCTTATAAAAGCGTCCTTCCCTAGGTAAGCAGTCAATTTAAAATGCACTTTCAAATACGTTTGTCGTAAAATCTTTGATAACGAGCGAAGGTGGAAGGTTGAAATGTCTGGTCACTTCGCCAATGCACCTTAATAAAATGTCTGTCCCAACACATAGACCAACCATTCTGATTGTGAGTTTGCGCAGTTAGTATGCGAAGTTCAGTGAATTGACTCACGTTAATGCCTGGTGGTTCCACGGTTTCGTGAGTCCAGTGCGATCTGTAGCGAGGTGAAATTGAGAGCGCTGAGTAGAACCCTGAATTCCGTGATCTGGGAGTAGCTAAGAGACAAGAGCAAGTGCGGTCACGTTAGAAACAGGATGGCTGTTGCATACTGTCCGTGTGCTTGTACTAGTTTTGCTTGCCGTGGAAATATATAATAAGGGTACTACGATGGGAGGTATGACATTATCTCGATTGTCAAGATACACATCTGGTCCAGAAATGGCGGGCACCCAACTGAAGCTGGGCAATTGGTAACAATCAAGCGAACACGTAGGCTCTGAACCTTAAAGCAGGCTTCACGTGCACAGAAAACAGTAATTTAGCGATAGGTTTAATTAAAGGAACAGGAGACTATAACAGGTAGAGAGCTAGAGGCCCAAGGTAGCTAGCTACTTAAATTGACAGGCTGTTCTCTTGAGTGGGAGAAAAGAAAAGCAAAGACAGGAAAGACGTATGTTTGAGCAGAAGTATTGGAGTCTAGTGGCTTGAGGTGTCCTAAGCTACTAGCACCTAGACTTCAGCTTTGAACAATTCCTAGCATCAACAACTTAAGTTGCATTAGCTAGTTGTGCATTGAACAAATCCATTGTTAGAAGAGGCGCCCTTGTGAGTTACGGCGCCAAGAATAACGCACTGTCCGGTCCTGCTATCGTAGTTGACAATGCAACGGTGTGCTCCTGGTGCACCTACAGGTATTGTCAGCAAGAACTCTTAATAAGTACTAGAACACTTTTGTGTTGTTCATTTTACATGCTGTAACAATTATAGAGAATATAAAAGCTCAACTTACCACCTGAGTAGGCCTTGGTGCCATGAATAAGAGGGTAAATGTATAGGCTGTTGATATTCGAAACAGACCACGTAAAGCCCTCGTGGTTGGCGAAATAATGCGGGTAGCCACCTGGACCAGTGCGATTGTTCCACCTGCAAAGTTCATTTTTGCAGTTGTCCAGCTCAGCTCTGTCGAAGTAATCGCCAGCACAATCCTCGCCTGCAGCTACGGATGAAGCAAGCGCTGCAATGGCAAGAAGCGCCTGTAGAAGTGTTAGATTGAATTCACTCTCTGCTTTACTGGTGGGTATTCATACTTTGATAAGCATATTGAAAGATTTGAACAAAGTTGACTTGAGTGTGACAGTTGAGAAGTTGAGAAGTGTCGAGTAGAAACAGTGGAAGCGATGAGATGTTACTCTTAGTTGCAGCTTGCTACTTATATAGACGAAGGACTTCAGTCATCCCAAGGACTTGCGTTAATAAATTCAGTGACAACTGATGGCGATATTGCCGTCTGACTTAAGTTACGGGCCGATGCTACAGGCTGCGTCCTAGTTCAGAGCGAATGTGCAAGCACTTGAGAGATCACGTATACGAGCTGACTAACGCACAGATCGAGCTCCTAAGTTCTTCATGTACCTTTTGTAGAGAAGTACAATAGTTTCTATTTTTATTTTTCGTGCTCTACAACATATGGTGAATGCATTCTTGCTGGTTAAATCTCTCATCTCAAGCCCTAAAATCCAGGGGCTACAATTGCACGGTAAGTCGTGTTGAAAGAGCTGCTGCTTGAAGTGCATATCTCGGTGTAAGCGAACCAACGGTCTTATTTCCGTCAAGAAAGAAAAGGGTTAGCTTGGCTGATTGGACTACTAGTACAACTAACTTACCATTCTTTGGAAAGGCGTTTGAGATGGGCCTTCTCAGAGTAAAGCCGTCGCTTTTACAAATAGCTCAAGTCAACAAGTGTGATCACAAGAAACAACAGGACTCTTGTTAACAGGGTATATTCCTAGTGTACCATGCTAAGTTGATTAAAGTTTTGCAAACTTAATCTGTGGTTGAACCGCAATTAAGATGGCACATACTGCACCTTACTAGCGCCAAAGGTATAGCCGACGATTTCAGGTGAAAGTCACTCGCCAGAAATAGAATAGTTTAGGGAAACAATAGAGTTGTGGCACGTAATTTACTTAACAGTGATAGTTTACGCTTATAGACGTGTAGATTTAACGATTTTAAGTGTTGTACCTATTGCAATCGCTGTTTCTTACTAGTTAGCATTATTGCTTAAGGAAGAAAAACACTATTCACGTTTTGCCGCTATTCCTTTACTAAATTGGCGTTTTTTTCAAACCTTTGACTGGCATGAACACTTGGCTATACCATTGGCGCTGGTAAGGTGCAGTACATCTAACAGTCTTGAAATGCTCCGTGGGCTTTCCATCTCGTTCCGCATACACTAGCGAGACTTGGGTGATCCACTTATTGTCGCGCAGTATTATAAGACCGATTGGTGGCCTCAACTCCGATGGTCAAATGTTCAACCTCAAAATTATAAGCTTCTGAGATCCCTAGCGCCGCACCTAAAAAACGTTCGGCCGTTCTCTAGGCTAATTAGTGGACCACCTGAGTCTTATTAGCCTTTGTGGTACTCGTGAAGTGCACAGGTACACTAGGAGGTAACGGTGACCTATGATCTCTGCGCAACGAATGCTGATTTACCGTTTGGGCATAGGCAATTGAAGCTGGTGCTGTTGCAGGTAGATGGTCGTGAGATTGCCGAGTGCTTTCCTTTGTTGTGATAATACTCTGGTCGATAGCAAGAAGCGTGAGAAGCGACTCTTTGTCGGCTGAGAACGATACGATACCGATTGGACGGCATAATGCCGGCGCCAACTTCCTAGGAGATCTAGATGTTGTTGCGACTGGATGTCACAGCGATATCCTCTTAGGGCCTGTTTTAGGTAGGCCTGTCTCTATGAACTGGTAAACATAGACCAAATATACCTTCTTATACGAAACTAGGCCATGCGTCGTACTGCGGTAGATTAAGCTGGAAGCTCCGAATACGGTGGTAGATAAAGCCGGAAGCTCTTGGTACGGCTAGACGTCCGCTGGCAACAAGTCTTCCATAAAATTTTCGACGCATAATGGATTCGCGAACTCTTGCTACTCGAGGAGGTGGTATTCACAGAGGAAGTAGCCGTGGGGGAAGCGCTTTGGGAAGAAGTCACCATAACCTACGACATTCCTCTTCAAGCACCTCTCAAGCCATAGAGTCTAATCTACCAGCCTCATCTACTGCGAAGCTTCTTGTACAGCCTGCCATTACGGCATTTAGTGCTGGATATCCCAATAACAGCGAGGGTGTTCTATAGGATATCTGGAATTGTGTGGTTGACTTTTCATTGCAGACGCTATGTAAAGGAGCTGGCCGCTGAGGGCAAAGTGCAAGTAAAATTCAGATAGAATTGATGCAGGCTCTGGCTCGGAGACTTCTAGTGGTTTTTGTTCTCTGGCGCGGAGTCTGTATGCTGATACTCTCCAGTTGTCAGATTCTCGTACTGTTGTCAGAGTATAAACTCGACGAGATCGTGGGTGGTAAAAACTGTGTGTATTCTGTCTTCTTCATTTCGTGTCTATCCTCTAATCTTATGTACTCTCAACCCCGCCTTTCTGTTAATTATCAGTTAAGGCATTGTCTTAGTAGTCCTGAATCGCTTGGGTACCCCTCTTTTACATGCTTGGTGTCAGATATTGGGTTACTGAGGAAAGGTTGGCAGGGCCGGATCTGTACAGAGACATCACTCGGAGGTCTCAGCCAAGTTCACCAAGCAAGGCAGGGGCCCACAGACTAAGCCTAATAATCAGCAACACGCCAGATTGAGGTCGCTAAGCATGTAAAAGAGGGGTAGCCAAGCGATTCAGGACTACTAAGACAATGCCTTAGCTAATAATCGACAGAAAGGCGGGTTGAGAGTACATGAGATTAGAGGAGAGACACAAAATAGAGAGGACAGAGAATACACACACAATTTTACTACCCACGATCTTGTTAAGTTTATACTCTGACAACAGTACAAGAATCTAACAATTAAGAGTCTTACTGCTGCAACTAAGCTAGAACAATGTTGATCCTTAGCACACCTACTGTTGTACTCACCAACTATATATTGTACACCCCGTGGCTACGCTAGCTAGAGATACGCTGTGTCTCTCTGGACGTGGGATCAAATTGATCCTGATCAACTCACGCGTAAATACTAAGCAAGTGAGCCATCGAAGCGAGTGAGCCACCCAACCAACTTTGCGCACCTTTACAATCATATATCTCAACAACGTGATAATGTAATGTTTAGATATTTATAGAGTAAATTAAGCAGTATCTAAAGTATCTTTTTTGCACGTACGCGAGTTGTGTCCAGTCTCTCTGCATCTCTTGCAGCGCGCGAGTGCCTGGCGGCTGCGGCCTAATTGCTCTCCTCCTTGACGCTCTTCACGAGCAATCTGCTGATCAGCCTCACGTTGAGCGAGTATATCCTCTCTAGCTCCCTTTGTTAAGATCCCACACTGCTGTATACGCCTTTTTTTACGCTGTTTGCGCGCTGACGCTGCCTTATTAGCCTTCTCAAGGCTGGCAATCTGGTCGCGCATCAGCTCAGCTGAGAGCATCACTACCTCAGCACCCTTCTTGAGCTGGTTAATCGCCTCAATGATTGAAGCTGGCGATGAGCTCTTGTGCCGCCGCACGCGATCGCGTATTAACGTTGATTGAGCATCAAGTTCACGTACGTTGCTTGGCGTAAGAGCTTCCCAGAGAACCTCTGGCAGAGTATCTGGAGTAGGTGTACGTAGCTGCACGTCAAGCTTTGAGAGCACAGCGTCTGGTTGGAGAGGCACAAGGCCTGTACCTCGAAAGGCTGAGCAGATATTGGCTGAGGTGAACGATTGACTGAACGCTGCCTTAAAGGCTGGCAGGAACTCAAGCTTGGTGATATGGTTAATGTGGTGGCGGATGAGGCTCTCAACCTCACGGCTATACGCGCGTTTCAACGGCGAGAAGCAGCCAACGTCAAGCGGCTGCAGTAGATAGGATGAGTGAGGCGGCATGCAGAGCGTATAGATATTGTTCTCCTTGCAGAGCTCTTGAAACTCAAGAGAGTGGTGGCTCTCATGGCCGTCAAGGACGAGCAGGCGACGCGCACCAACAACGCGAGTCTTTGTGTGAGTGTTGAAGTGCTTCAGCCACTCTACTCCTAGCTTGTTGTTTGTCCAGCCATTGTCGCTAACTACAATCACCTAGTCGCGTGGGATCTCTGCTTCCTTGTACCAGGCAGATAGATAATACTGGCCAGCGAAGATGAGGAATGGTGGTACTGACTAGCCAGCAGCGTTAATTGCAGCGATCAACGTCACCCACTCGCGATTACCTGGCTGAATAGCCTTTAGCTAACCTCTCCTCTCTAACCCTGTCACGACAAGCTAAGTTGTAATCTTGCCTATTATAAAGCCTGCCTTGTTAAAGTTGTAGACGTCATTATCACAGATGCTATACCTAGCGTTTGTCTGCTCTACAAGCTCAAACTACTAACTAATTAGGGCTAGATCCTTACATAGAGCTCTCTGTCTATCGTACGCTCGATTGAAACGCGTCGTGAGACTGTCTGTACGCTTGACAAAGTTGCTTGGCCAGTCTCTGCCTACAGGAGAGCTACCACGCGCTAAGAGTAGCTTATCAGCCATATCACGTACAGCTGCGTACGTAGGCGAAAACCCACGTGTATCTAGATCTAGTATATGCTTTACTATTACCTCCTCCTCTTGCTTAGTAAGCTTCTTTAAGTTGGGCTGGCAATTGCGTCTAGCAAGTTTGCCAGCGTGTTGGTGGTGGAGGGTAGCGCGAGAGACTTTAAATGTTACTGCAGCACGCCTTTCAGTCTAAATTTAATTCGCATTAAGAGCTAAGATTGCAAGGTGTATATCAGTCTCACAAGAAGCGTGTTGGGCTATGTTTAGTGGAGCCATAGTCAATTTATAGTTGTAGGGTATAGAAATTTGGTGGGGTGGCTCACTCGCTTCGATGGCTCACTCGCTTAGTATTTACGTTAACGTATTCCACAGGCGAGCGCCGCACACGGGCGAGCGCCGCACCCCACCAAACTTGCGCACCTCTCTCATCTCAACGTACAATGGCTCAACGCAGCGCTAC